AGGGTGATGGATATTTGGACAGAAGTCCACAGAGGTGAAGTGTCATTCTCATCCCATCATATCAAGGATACACCCTATTAACATGACTCATCCTTGTTGATGCTGACCTTGATCACCTGGCTGAGACAGTGTTTGCCAGGTCTCTCCATTTCTCCATTTCCCCCTCTTTCCATAATCTATCCTCTGGAAAAGAGTCACTAAGCATAGCTCACACTCAAGTGGGGACGGTAGGTGGGAAGCTCTGGCTTAAATTTTTATAATGATAAATTACTTTTTCAAGTAAAGATTCCCTGGCAACATGAGCATTCATTAATGTATTCGATACTAGTCGCGTTGTAGGTATATTACAAGAGGGTAGGAGTTATGTTCCTTCATTGTTGCAATTCTATCAAGCTGACAGGTTTTTCTCTCAGACAAAGTAAATATAGTCAGTAACTCATCTGCCTAGATCCTGGCTGGCAAATACCTGGCATCTCCCTGTGCACCCATGGCAGATAACGACAACAGATAATGGCTATTAAAATGCTGACTTAGCTTTATACATAATGATATGGAAGGGTGATCATCAAAAGCAAGTTCCCCAGCAAAAGCAAGGATAGGTTCCATTTACATAAATTTATTTGCATCAGAAAAAGCCTACAGGGATAAAGATGGCGTTGTTAATGATGATTATATCTGATGGATTCGGGGTGATTTTATTACTTTTTCCTTCCTGCTCTCTACATTTTCCTATCATAATCATATATTACTTATACACTGCTTACAAATTCTAAAAGAAATATATACATAGTTAATCTTTCTTAGTTTTTTCCCAACAGTCAGAGGTACACACATTTCTGTGTCAGCGGAATGGTAAAGTAAAACAATGCCCTCCAAAGGCTCAGAAAATGGTTTAGTCACTCTCACGTCACTCTGAGTTACCACGGAGGCCCAGTTGTATTCTTCCCTCTGGTTTTACTCCCACCCAAAACTTACACTCACTTAGCCTCCCAGCACTATTCCTGTCTGTGTTGACATACGTTTTAGAACTCCCGAAGGAGGCCCCCAAGTGTCGCTTCGCTCCAGATCATTCCAGGCCCTGCCTACGCTGGTGCTCAGCTCCAAGAGCCAAGTGGACTAGATGAAGGCCAAGCCTGCTGCTGTGGTACAGTGGAAACCAATGGCATTTGAACAAGCATGCTGGAGCAACATGGCCAACCAGCAGTAACAAACAATTAGAATCCGTATCTAAGGGCCCTTCATCACGGCCTCTGCTGCACAAATGGAAAAGTCGGAGAAAAAGGAGACAGCAGTTTCACTGAGTTCCACTGGAAAAACGATGATTTGGCAACTACCAGCAATTTCTTCATGGTCATTGCCGCCAAAAGTAAGGCATATCATAGAGCATTCAGGGTGCTTGCTACAATACCTGCTCTCTTTAAAACAGCTGTTTCACTGAAGGCTAGGTAGATTTGCCTGGACAAGCAGCGCTGCCACACAGTTTACTGTGGTAAGCCACTCCCCTTCATAAATCCTTTTACAAAGTTATTAAAAAGCCTTTCAGGGACTATGTGTCATAGGGATACACCTCAGCATGACAAGCAGGCACTTCATATTAACTACCCAGAAAAGAGTAAACCACATGATTAAAGTTCTTTACTTCAAACGTCTCTCAGTGATTGGGGGCTGTTTACTTCTTTTGAAAATTAAGTTTCACACAGAACTGAAGAACAGAAAAAAATAAAAGGCACTCCAGAAAGTATCAGGAGATCCCTGAAACCCTGCTTCCAAAGAGAAAAACTCTGAGAGAAAGGGGAGGGACAAAAAGAAAAAGAAGAAGAAGAAGAAATCTGCTAAAATACTACATCTGTGGCAGCCTGTCCAGGGCCTGTTTTTTTAAAAACAATGATGTTCCTGCAACTTGTGATGTGTCTGCAAATACAATGGCACAGCACAGCTGTGTCTAGGGGTTTAACTTGGGACCCCAGGCCGTCCAGTGTGAGGGCCAACCATACTGACCCCTCCAGAATATGGGCTGCTGCATCTGCTTGGCTCTACAAAGCGACCAGCAGGAGCAGCAGCAGATGCCATTGTAGCCAATTTCATTTTCAAGTCACACTGAGCCTCAGGGGAAGAGCTAAATATAGGAGAAGCCAGGGCACAGTTCACAGCTGTACTGGAGAAAGTGGAGAGGCTGGTCTGCAGTTTTATCCTCCCTCTCCTGGCCACCACTCCTGCGCGCGCCCCAAGTCCATTAGCTGGCACAACAACACCTTCCTCAGAATCACAGAACATTAAAGACAAAAGTGGCATTAGAGATGCTTCCTATGCCTTCATTTTGCAGGTAAACAAACAGAGGCTTTGCAGAAGCAGCGGGTTTAGTTAACCCAAGGCCAGAAAGCTGAGTGTGGAATCCAGGGTTTCCCGATCCTATGAGCAGTCTAGGAGTCAGCTACCTGACTCGATCACAGATCCACAAGCAAAGCCTAGAACAGGAAAACAAGCCGACTGTTCCTGCACGCACCACAATTCACGCAAAGGGCGTCTACTCTCAGATTCTTGTTTGCAGCTTATTTAACTTTTGTTTCACGCTCAAAACTAACAAGTTTGGTTACGTCATTTCCAAAGTCCTGGAAAATCATTAAGTAGCAAATCAGAAAAGGTGGAGCAATCAATCACTAACACAGGACTCTTTAAAACTATCAGGAAATGACAGCTGAGAGTTCCAGAGGAAAACTACAAAAAGAAGTCAAGAGAAATAACAGAATCTAGTAACCTAAAACCATTCCTTGGAACAGATCCTGAGGACATTAATGAGTCTAATGGTGGTGATTCTTAATCCATAAAACATTAACTTTTCCCTCCATATAATTTAAAAAGGCAGAGAAGGGTTATAATACACTTACGGAGCACAATACAGTACTAATGAGACGTTGGCAGTAAGTATTTGTGTAAATACGTCCATACACATATGCATGCATGTATGTGTGTGTGTGTGTATTTCTTAAATTCTAATATTTTAAACGGTGAATCACAAACTATTTACAAATCTCAGTTAGCCAAAATGACTCACTGCCTGAAGATTTTTAAGTGTAATATTTTAAGAGACTTTATTTTATTGCTAGCCTTGGCTGCCATGGCTGCATCAACCAAAAAATCTTAAATAGTAAGTCTATTTTCCTATGTTCCCCCTTTCCAAAAGTAATTAAGTTCCACCTAGAGACCATCCTTGAGCAGTGTTTTGTAATGCATGCTGTCCCTGGATGAACAGTCACAAGGGTCATTAGTATTTTCGCAGCATAACAAAAAGGAATGTCCAAGGTCCTCTGAGTTCTCTGGCTGGAATGATATAGCTCACAGTAGTGGTACTGATGAAGTTATGCCAACCAGAAGCACTGATGGAGATATGAGTTAGGGGGAAGGAGACAACTGGTGGACCAAGACCTGTCAACGGAATTACTTCAATCCCATTATTTTATTATGTTATCATCCCTGGATATGAGTACAGAGGGTCAACTCAAATTAAGTGACCATACCAACGCAAGCGTCTGTTTATTTAGCTATACTGCTTATCCAACATTATAACCATTTCTGTGATTTAAATGATTTCATAATATTATAAGGATTACGGATGACTGGGTTAAATCTGGATTGGTGCCAAAACATAAAAAAGGAAGCAAATTATTAATTTAATAGTTGCAACTTCTCTGGCAAACAAATTCTTACAAGCCTGTAGTCTGTGGGGAATTTTTTTTTTTAAAGCTCCATATTGGTTATGATAGTACAAGACCTTAAATGGAATGAGTAACTTCCTGAGGTCTGAGTTATCTGCCCCCTTAGCCCCACCCTCCCCCACAAAAAACCAACTAGGGTGAAGCAAACATGCTAAAGATAGAGATCAATACTAAATAAACTTACAAGTAAGTTAACTTGAAATTATCCATACCAGTGCAGAATCCCTTATTCGCTAAGGGACCAGAGAGGACCCCACAAGTCTGGCTGGGCTTATATGGTGAAAGTTAGCCCCCTTAGGTGCTCTAGGAGTAGGAGGAAGGGCACCAGGTGAAGCTGGAAACAGAGAACTAGGGCCCTGGAAAGTGTGCTGTTCTACAAGGAGGGGAGAAGGAGACCCAGTAAGAAGACAGAGATACTTGGGCTGGCATGAGTCACTGACCAATGTGTGGAATCTGCTTCTCTGTAGGTCTCTAAAGCACAGTAGATCCTCATCTCCCTGGAATAATTTAGGACACTTATTTAAAGGCTGAGGATTCAACCACATGACTTCTGAAGACTGTATCCTTCAAGACGGAAGATATAAATAAGATTAAAAATAATTTCTTTTGCGTATTATTTTAAAACTTCTAAACTAACACTACCAGAGAATTGTTTGTTATCTTAATCTTTAAACACTCTCGTAGAACTGAAAGAAAACTAAAATTTGTCTATTATGCTAATTCATGCACTGTCTCAACAAGGATTTATTTAACACTTCCAATACCTGTGAAAGTGCAGTAGGAGCTGTGAAGACATGAAATTGAAAACATGAAGCAGACTTGTAGGAGAAAAGTACAGTAAAGGCTAGAGAAATAAAAACAACACAGAATTACCAACTGCAAAGAGTGTAGGAGATTATTCAGAGAAATAAGAGAGGGATAGAGCAACGAGGGAAGACTTCTTTAAAGAGGGCATATCTAGAACAAGACTGACATTGGTGATGCTCACAAACTGGCAGAGAGAGAAAGAAAGAAGGCGTTTCTATGCTGGGGACTGTAAATGAGCAAAGGCAGGAAACTGGGGATTTCTAAAGAGGGACTAGTCTGGTAGCTATGGAGGGTCCATGGCTGAGAACAAGCTGAAGCCACCAGGTGACCATGGCCTATTACCCCAAGATGTTGACAAAGGTTAAGTCCACACAAAGCAAGACATTCCAATGGGCCCTAACGAGAAACGAAAGTTGACGCTTTCAAATTACGAAGATTATTCCGGAGACACACACACAAGCATTCCCGGTTCTTCCTTACCTTTCCCGTAGAAGAACTTGCGGTAATAGTAGGCCCCGAGGTCAATGTGCTCTATGATGTAGCGCTTCACCTTCTCCCTGTGAATCGGCTGGTTCTCTCTTGGCACCTCCAAAACCGAGACACCTGCATTTGTGCAGTGAGAGCTGAGAGACGATTCAAAGGAGCAGCTTTCCCCGGAACTGAAAGATGATGAGCTGGCCCTAGAAAGCGCAATCCTTCTGTCACCCTCCCCTCCTGTCTCATTTCTAAAGTAAGGACAACTCAGGACAAGATCGTTACTCTTCCCATCACCCTCATCGGCATCCAGGTTCTCTTTCGAGTTGAGGTCCTCCTTGCTCCCCAGAGGGGACTCACAGTTGCCTGTATGGCCTGCTGGCATCTGAGTCTGGGATGCTGCAGAAGCCCCAGTGGTTATGTTTTTCCTTTTTCCCATATTAGCCCTTATCGCGATGGCTTCATTGATATTAAACAAAATACTCTGGACATCATAATGTGCAAAACATCTTTGACAATGCCAAGGGCGGACGCCCCTTTCAAGATGGCTGTCCTCCAGATCAGACGTGAATTTGAAAGTTTCATGTTCACTTTTCACAGTTCGCAGCTTTCGGAAAAGGGAAGTTTCCACTGACTCTGACTTCAACCTCCGTTTGAAAGGCTTGTCCCGGTCTCTCCCCATTAGGAGGGCACTGTCCATGTAGTCTAATCCTGAGATGCGGACAAACTCTCCTCTAGAAATCTGTGCTGCTGCATGAAGGCTGGGAGAGACTGCAGGATCACAGGGGAAGAACTCGGGGAACCCAAAGGGGACCATCGCTTTGTGGTCGTAACTGTCTACTCGGTATCCTCTGAGCATAGCAAAAAAGTTTTCACCAGATAAACCCTGTCTATCGATTGAAGATGTGCTTCCATATTCCCTGTGGAGGGCTGCCCCGGTGTTGGGATTCACTGCATTTTGGTCTAAGACGTCTTCAGTGTCGATGTCACTGATGGTGACATCGCTATTGCTTCTCTGTCTTATGGGGTGAAGTCCTCTTTGAGGCGAATGCACAAAGATGTCTCCAATTGTATACTTTGCCTCCACAAATTCCAGATCAAGCTGATCCTCTTGCTGACCATCGCTCTGGTCATTCTGTCCGTTCTGCATGATGGATGTGACACTTTCATAACTGGTTTGGGAACGGCTTTCCCACAATCCCTTGCAGGCTAGCTCCTTGGAGCAATCCTTTTTAGGAGGCCATTCAGACACTCTTGCTCTCACACCCATTTTGGGAACCGCTGGGGTACCATTAGCTGGACCACCACTCTCACTGGAACTTGAGACATTTAAAGAAGTAGGAGGTCCCATGTTGCCATTAATGGCTTTAAATTTCCGAGCAAAATAATCATCAGACTGCATGATTCTGGGAGGATCCTTAAACTTTGAAGAGGCTCTGCTAAGCTTGTGCTTCTCTTCTTGTGACTGCCTTGGGTCACTCATGTTCACCGAGGCAAGAAGCTCCAAGTCTCACGAGAAAGACCGTCGTAATTCTAATTACATTGTTATTTACAATGTGATATTAAATGCAGATATACTAAAGACTTCTACGTGTAGCTGTATCTTCTCTTTTTAACCAAAAGCAAACGACATCCTCAGAATACAATTTCTCCAACTTAATTCGCAGTTATTGTAATGATTTTGAATTCTTCAGTTGTTTTCAAAAGCATTCCTTAAGTCATCTGGTCATTAGTACTTCTTTCACCTGAATTAAGACAGAAAACAGCCATTAGCAATTAACATAGTTCATGTTAGATACATTTCTCTTCTGTCCTTTTCACCTACTTCAGTTCACTTCCAATTTCCCCAAATTGTCATGAATTTTCGCGTCTCTGTACTTCTGTTCATACTGTTCTTTCTCTTTGGAACATCCCTGCCTTCCTTCTCTACCTGACTGGCTGGAATGCACACCACAGAATCACCTTCTCCAAGCAACTTTCCCCGTACGTCGCCCATCCTCACCCCACATCTGAGTAAAGAGTGCTTCCCATAGTACCAGCGTCTGAAGCAATCATAGCATTTTTCATTATACAGTAAATGCTGGTTTACGGATCAATCTACCCCACTAGCTAACTGCGCTCCTCTAAGTAAGGAATGATGCCTCTCACCTGTGTACTGACATTAACTATTAATACAGCCTGGATTAAGTTAGGTACTCAAGTAACATTTCAATGAATACATTAGTTATAAGAGTAGCACAATAGTCATGTAATACGTTTGAGTATTGTTATTACACTTTCCTTCAAAATGTTCAGTAGCAAATAACAAGGATTAATACCAGGCATTAACAAATGAGTTTTCAGAATGTTCTCCAGCAGTCAAATAGGAGCTAAAGGTAGGAAGGTGTCCTTCACTTGGTATCTTTAAAGGAGTCTTTAATTTGGTGTCTGAAAGAGTACAATTTTCTAGTTCATTACACCACTAGCAACTTGCCAAACGTACAGGGTAAAATAAAGGTATGCAGAGATATAAAGCACCTCAATTTACCTATGTGTTAGGAGAGACTTGACCTAATCAACTCTCCTCTTTAATTATAAATCCTTTCCTTTAAATAGACAAAATTATTTGCAGTTATTATATATTTTCCAAACTCATGGCAGTCTGGGTATCTTACATGTTGGCAAAAAAATGAAAAGAACTATTCTACTTCTCCTAAAGATAATGATGGTGATAAAGGTATAATAAATCCTCACCAAAGCTGAAGAAAACGCTAAAATTCCAACTAGCTAAACTCTTTCCAATGGGTTCTTACTGGCTTTGAGAGAAATGTGTGGTGGTTTCTTGCAACAGCAGATACTTTTCTTAGGATGGCAACTTGTTTTCCCCCATTGTAAAAAACCAGTCTAGTCATGACAACCTGCTGTCTGTTTTCAAGGTCACTTCGTAATAGAGGAAATATAAAGTTATTTCAGGTGATGGCAAAGGGGAGTGAGCAATCAAATACTTTCATGCCCAGAATAGAAAAAACTATTGTGCTCAGAGAGAACTTCTTGCCTAATACCTCTCTATTGAAATGGTATTTGATTGACTGTATTAGTCTTTGATATAATCTATAAATCCTACAGTTTCATAATTCTTATGAACACTTAAGAAAATGTTAAAGTTTAAAAATTACCTACAATGTTTAGAACAGAGCTAAGTGAATTCTCAGTAAACATTAGTATGATACTCATTTTCAGTTATATAGTGTTAATTTGTAGGTATCCTATGTACAGAAGGAAGAACCCTGCCCTACCCTGCATCCATTAACAATTCACTGAACTATGCACTTTCTAGAAACATAATCAGGAACAAAGTACTCACTACCTTAAGAAATTAGAACAAGAACAACGAAATCTACCAAAAGAAACCAGGAAAGACGGAATGAATAAAGATAGAAGTTGAAATTAATAGGAAAAAAAGAAGTGGAGACAACAAATTCAAAAGCCAGTTTTTAAAAATAAGAAAATAGATAAATCCCTCCCCAAGCCTGCAAAAGAAGAAAAAGAACAATAATATACAACTTTAGAAATGAGACATGACCACCTGCTTAAGGAGAAATTATAATAAATACAGGTTTCCCCTGTGATCCAAAAATGGAGTGTTTCTATGAAAACTTTTGTAAGCCGAGATGGAGTAAAGGAAAGAAGCAATTACCATTAATTTATATGAGGAAAATTATTGAGCGTTCCTAGACCCAAAAAATAACCTACCAGGTCATACCAACACGTAAGACCCATACAAGCTCTCAGGCCTTTCTGATACCTTGGGACACATCCTGCTAGTAGATGCACAAAATAAATTGACATAAAGCACACATGTTCATACAATTCAAAGCTATGGCAGCTTGATGCTGAGATGCTGACTGCAGTTCCTGGGGAAGGAGCCTGGCAACTCCACTCTCGCTGCTGGGGTGCGCGCTGCCTCTTTAACAGCTTACTGCAAAACTAACACTGAATGCTATTTCCACTTTTCACCTTTTTTTCATAAAAGTGAAAATTCTCTTCGGATTTCTTTCGGTTAGTGAAAACAGGTAATAATGTAGGTCTTTTGTAAAAGTAAAGTGGCATAAAGTGAGTTTTCGAAAAGCAAGGGATATCTGTATAAGTATAAAAGATTTATTTCACAAGCAACTCTATGGCAACAAATTTGAAAATCCAGAGGAAACTAATGATTTCCTAGAAAAACACAAATTTCCAAAAGTGATCCAAGAATGAAAAATCTGAGTAGACTGACTACCATTGAAGAGAATAGAAATATAACCAATCCCTAACTAAAAAATAATATAAAAATATATATACCAATGCAAAGAACCACCCTAACCATTAGTTTGAAACTCCTTTTCCTTCTATTTATGAAATCAAATAACTGCTACCTACAATATTTAGGATTTACCGATCTTCCTTCAAAACAGTAATTCCCACCTTTTTCATGCTGTGGCACACACTGAAAGTGCCTGTATTTGTATAGCATGTAGGACTCAATGCAAGGCCCAACCTGACCACCCTGACTGAGAGCTGAGCAAACAGCACCTCCCCACACCTGCACCCTATTCACAACACATCCATTGAGAAGCTTTGGGTTTAAGCCACTTCATAGCAGATGTGAAAAAGTAGACAAATATTAAAATTAGGATTTTGGAAATGGACAGTGGCGATGGTTGCACAACATGGTGAATGTAATTAATGTCATGTGAAAATGGTTGAAATGACAAATGTTTTGTTATATTTATTTTACCACAATAAAATTGAAAAAATAATTGAAAATTAAAGTATGATTAGCAAGGACAATACAGACTCGTATTTGAACACCTCTATTCTAAGCTTTCACATCTCTCTACATTTCTAATGTTTTCATTGTTTAATAATGTTAAAAATACAAAACATTTACTAGATAGACCTGTAGAAACTGAGGATACCAATATATTGCAAAAAAACAGCTATTTTAAAACATAAATAACAGAATCAGTTAAAATAGATGAAATTACCACACAAATGCAAGATATTAATAATAGGAGAAGCTGTATGTGGGAGTTGGGGGGGTGGGGACATGGGACTGGGAACTCTGTATTTTCTATGCCATTCTGCCATAAATGTAAAACTATTCTAAAAAATAAAAACACAAATGTATAAAAATAGATATATTTGTGCTGAATTTTATTATCAGGTTTGCCAAAAAGGACAAAAACAATAGCTAACTCAGTACACAGTGAACATTTTGTCAGAGAAATCTTCTGAGAATATTCCCTCAGGTATTATTTTTTATAGTTTTGTGACAGAAACATTAGCTTTAGTAGACAGCCGTTGATTTTGCCTGCTAAGGTTCTATTTCACTGCTCATCTGTCAGTTTGTTGTACTGTGGCGGCTTGCGTGTTGCTGTGAATCTGAAAGCTATGCAACTGGAATTTCAAATGCCAGAAGGGTCACCCACGGTGGACAGGGTACAGCGAAGCTCCTAGACTAAGACTGGAAAGAAGGACCTGGCAATCTACTTCAGAAAAAAAAGGCCAGTGAATACCTTATGAATAGCAGTGCAACACTGTCTGATATAGTGCTGGAAGATAAGCCCCACAGGTTGGAACTCGAAATACAACTCGGGAAGAGATGCCTCCTAAAAGTAGAGTCAATCTTAATGACATGGATGGAGAAAAGCTTTTGGGACCTTCATTTGCTGATGTGGCACAACTTAAATGAGAAGACGCACAGCTGCAAACATCCATTAGTAATCAGAATGTGGAATGTATGAAGTATGAATCTAGGAAAATTGGAAATCATCAAAAATGAAATGGAAAGCTTCAAGACTGATATCCTAGGCATCAGTGAGAGCTAAAATGGACTGGTATTGGCCATGTGAATTGGACAATCAACAGTCTACCATGCAAGGAATGACAAACTGAAGAAGAACGGCGTCCCATTCACTGTCAAAAAGAACATGTCAACATCTATCCTGAAGTGCAGTGTTGTCAGTGATAGGATAATATCCATACGTCTACAAGGAAAACCCAGTTACTATGACTATTATTCAAACTTATGCACCAACTAATGCCAACGATGGAGAACTTGAAGATTTTTACCAACTTCTGCAGTCTGAAATTGGCCAAACATGGAATCAAGATGCAATGATAATTACTGGTGAACAGAATGCAAAAGTTGGGAACGAAGAAGGATCGGTAGTTGGAAAACATGGCCTTAGTGTAAGAAAAGACACAGGAGATCGCATGATAGAATTTTGACCTATTCGTGGGAAATACCATTTTGAACAACGTAAGTGGCTACCATACACCCGGGCCTCACTGGATGGAACACAGAGGAATCCAACTGACTAAATCTGTGGAAAGAGACAACAGAGAAGCTCAATATCATCAGCCAGAATAGGCCAGGGGCTGACCACGGAACAAACCATCAAATGCTCATATGCAAGTTCAAGTTGAAGCTGAAGAAAATTAAAACAAGTCCACGAGAGCCAAAGTGTAACTGTGAGTACTGAATATTTACGAAGATAATGTGTACCTTCTACATTTGTTTGCCAACATAGCCTTCTCCCCACAAGGTATTTTTCTAAGACTGTTGTGCTATTTTTTTACAGCAACTTGTAAAAAAAAAAAATTGGCATAGCACTATTAAAGCAGTTTTTAAGTACTAAAGCTGGATTCAGAAGAGGACGTAGAATGAGGGATATCATTAATGATATCAGATGGATCTTAGGTGAAAGCAGAGAATACCAGA